GTATATATATATATATATATATTTTTTTTTAATTTTTTTTTATCAGCTATGTTGTTTCTGGGGATGCTGATGGTCGTTTGAACATCTGGGAATGGAAGACTACCAAACTGTTTAAACGAAACATCCAAAGTTATTACATGTGGATGGGATGGACTCATTAAACTGTGGGATTGAAATTATATGGATCTGTTGGATTAAGATTGAATGGATGCATTGAGCAAAGGGATTAAGATCGGATAGTCTCATTAACATAAGTATGGATCAACTCAAGAAATTGGGATTAAGATGGATCATCTTATTTAATTGGGATTAAGATCGGATTGGATCGACCCATGAAAATGATTTGGGATTAATACTTATTCACATGGATATTATTCAGCGCTGTTGCAAGATTGGATGCATTCATAAAACTCAAGATGCTGTAAAATTGTTATGTATTGGATTAGTTTAATCTCATAACAAGGTAATCCTATTGGAATGGATGTTAAGTTATCACAACCTGAAACATTTTTACAGAAACTATTGTGAATTGTATATATTTTTTATTCTGAAGAGAATACATGAGGACATTATTTAATGGCACAGATTGGTGACAACTAGATTATTCATGTAATGTTGCTTGGTAAAATAGTTAAACACATTGATTGCCAGACCCTTTTTTAAGGTTCCTTCCCGTGTGGCAAAACAAGTTTACGTGTACAAACATACTTTTTTGAAATTTTATCTAGTCATATTGCATCCTCAGAATAATGTGTATAATAAATTTGCAGGAAAAATATTGGGGGTGGGGGGGGGGTTGTGGGTAACTCATCATGGCACTGTGATAGCACTTTTTATCGACTATGCCAAGTGCGAATTGTATGGGTTGGTATATGTTCAAAGGGCGCCCCCACTTGTGCCACTCCAGTGTACTACCGGCAAAATGACACATCAAACATACATACGTCATGTACGTTATCGTCTAGGTGTATCTTCCACGAACTAGCAAACCCTTAAGTCTGTGTTTCTACAATGTATAACAGAGAAGTTATAAACGCTAGAGTGTTTACCCGATTGTGAAGAGTAAAGTTGTTCCTGACGCCCTCAGCAACACCCGGTGGGCCAGTATACTGGTTGCTTCGGCCAACATGTTAAAATTCAATTTTTGATGTATTGTAAAATAAAGATAAAAATTTCTTTGTGTACTATATAATATTGTTCAAGCTGTTACATTCATCATAATGGTGTTGTAACTAATTTAATCTTGTCCAAATTATGAATGAAACACTGACTGAAAAACCATGATCATGCAACATATTACGTCTTTTAATTGTTAGTTCACTGGCCTCTTAACTTGTTACAGTACATCATTTGTAAATTTATAAGGACAATTATTAGTGTCTAATCTTGTGCCTTTTTATATTACAGTATTTGACTTGTGCTGCTATAAATTATTTTACTGATGTTTTTTAACTTAATTCTTGGCATTAAAATGCTTTTTTTTAAGTCCTATATTTTTCTGTACTGCTTTTTTTTATTTTTATTTTTTTGTAGAATGTTAGTCTTTATGGCCTCAGGGAATATAAGATGTAATTTGAGGACTGAACAAAAATACTGTATATTTTTCTCCTAAATATTTGAATAGTTTCATCTGGTTTGGTTTATATTGTTGTAGTAACAGTTTTCATGAGAAAAGAATGTCTTGCATTGTTCTTATTGTACGTTGTTATTATCATCATCTGAGCCATCTTGTGTGTTGTGTATGTTATTGGATTATTATTGCATGTAATTTGAGTTTGCAACAAATAAATTTTAGTAATCTACAATAATTGATCGACAATCAAAAATTTATGTCAAAAGCATCACAAAAAATGAAATCGGGTAGCTAATTTCCTGGTTCGAAAAGGGTCACTATTCACTAGTCATAATGAAGAAAGTGTTCGCTACTCATAATATATTATAAGGACGAATGTTCATTAACTTTGTTATTCATCAACATTGCTGCTTTATTGATCGTGTTAATCATGCAAGCAACTTTTATGTATAGTAATTAGCTTTTATTGTGTCTATGCCTCAACATTCATAGTAAACCCTTTATCAGGTTAGAGATGTGTAATACATCTTTATACCATCTAATAATAACGTTGCATACATTTTTTAAACACTCATAGCATTTTCATTTTTTGCATACCCATATACTAGCAAACAAAATAAGGAAATCATTAGAACACAAAATTAACACTACAGTATTCAAAATATATATAGAAAAAAGTTGCTTTGCCCTTCAAAATAGTTTCTGTAGGGTTCCAATTAGAGAGATATCTAGAGTTCTACTCTAGTATTATATTCGTTGGTGGTTTCAATACGTTTCTTTTTAACAGAACATAATTTATCCTACTCAACTAGGCTTTCGAAATCTTAATCTATTTCCTTGGTTTTCAAAATTAATTATAGCACAAGGTTACTATTAAAAGCAGTGAAATTTTAACTAAGACAAGTTGAATAGGAAATTTTGAAAATGCCCCCCTCTCCACTTTTTGGCAGAAAATATAGAATGTCTATGCAGATTTTGTGTGATCGGAAAGGAATGTTAGTGGCCCCACTGAGTCGCTTCTCGAACGAGAGATTTTTGTGTATTCAGCCAAATAATATCTATACACAATGGACATGAGATCACCGTTCTGATTTTTTTGCCTCTTGCAATACACAGCAGACAACTTTTTTTATTTGAAATAAAGGGGGTGGGGCCATAGAGAGGGGATTTTAGAGATGGAGAGTTAGACAAGCGCAACCCAATGGTTGGGGCTGAGGTTTGAAATGTTATGTCTATGACGTCTCAAGGTGGCCAGAACTTGCACTTTTTTTTTTCTTATTTGTTTTAATTTTTTATATATAAATTTTGGAGGGGAGAAGGTGCAGGCCAGTGCTGTATCTTTTTTCATTTATGTGATCTTCAATTAACTTTTGCTAGAACAATAGATGCTATAAAGCTTGTGCCTAAATTGGAATTATTTTAATAGGCAGATGCAAAAACACCCCTATTTTAAGTAAATGGTATGGCTCGTTTTTTTTTTTTTTTTTTTTTTTTTGCATTAATAGCATTAAATTTTAAAATTTAAATTTAATTACTCTGTTCTCTATACAAGAGCTGAGAAATGCCACTATATTTCAGGGTAAACATTATAAAATTGTGTTTAATTGTTAAAATCTTAAAATAATAATTTTAAAAAGTTCAATATCTTACAGTATAAGTTTTGATTATATAATTTTATGAAAATTTGATAAAAACTCAATGCAGTTTTTATTTACCTATCTTAAAATTTTGATAACCATATTCTGATAACACAGCTTTAACAAGATTGCATTGCCCAAAGTTTATTGTTCATTTTTCACTGATATTAGATCCAATCAACATGGGTTTGCAAGAGCAAATCATTTAAGGTGTTCCAATGTTATACCCCTCCAAACTTTGGCCTAAATTGAAATTTCTAAAATATGCAGAAACACCCCTTTTCTAATAATAGTATGGTCCGTTTTTGCCACCCATCCGCATTTTTATGTTTTTTGTTTGTAAAGATGTCTTCAGTTTATATAATGGTCAGGTAAATTTTTCTCATTCTTATTTACAGTAAATAGGCCTAGTATGTGTGTACTGATATACACTGAAAAAATAAATGTAGTTAGTAGTTGCATACATATTCTTTTTTTCATGAATTGATTCGGGGTTGTGGGTGGTGTAAAGACTCCTGACTCCGCCCCCTCCCCTCAGATCTGCCAATGAAAAAACTTCGTAAATTGCAAGGAAAGGCGATTTACATGCAACAAGTACTAAAGCCACTATCGCACTGGACTTAATTTGGTCAAATTAACCGAGTCACTGGCTAAATTAACCCAAAAAAAATCCAATCCGAACGTCGGTTATAATTCCCTCAGGGTTAAATTAACCTAGCCGAATGGTTAATTTTACCGACCTCAGCCTGCCCAGTAAAACTTACCACGGTCTCGGTTAAACTAACCACGCTGGTCAAGAAGTCCAATCCGAACGTGCAACACGGTTAAAACATGGAGGTGTTATTGAGAAGGAGGTCACTCGCAAAGCCACGCGCACGCAGCGCTATGCAAATGAACCAAGATCAAAGTTGCCGCAGCGCGTAAAGAACGTTTGCGCGATGCCTTGGAAGTTCCATGTGTTCCCCGCCATCAAATTTTCAGCAGGCATAGTTGACCAAAAAATTGAACATGAAGAAATGGAGAGCACCTTCTTTTCTCAATGCGCACTACATACTGTCAATCACTATGGCTGCGCAATCTTTTTTATTCATAAATTGGCCAAAATTCGCCAATTCTAATTTTAACAGATATTAATTAATAAATGATTGAGAATTATAATAAACTAAGTCATTTTAGGGTTAACGAGGGTTAACTATTCGAAAAATCAATCCAAAATCTGAGTATTTTTCAGTTTTACGCTGACTTAGCCTTATAGTCGAACCAATCGATCTTTAGACAAAATTATAATGAACACAGAAGTAATTTTAAAATAAATATTTTACGGAATCCGTTCCTGAAATATACAAATAATAACATACCAAAAATCCGAAAAAATCGAATCAGGGGAACTGTTCATTATAAAGATATTTAATGGGTTAAAATCAAACGCTTTATTGCACAACTGTTCTGCTGGAAGCGTATAATGCATGTTGTTGCTAACGAAAAAATGAATATGCAACAAGTACCAAGGAGTCACCACACTCGTCGTTCGTTGACGAATCGGTGGAATCCCAATCAAATCAATGAAATCTCGTGTGTTGTATTTGTGTGTCCATGCATCCAAATGGGCGGAGAAGTGGAGATTCATTGGTCCTTCTCAATAATACCTCAAATAGAACTAATTTTAATAACTTGTGATGGCCATATATAGTATAAAATGTTACCGCATGTGACTGCAAAACAGTTTCAGTGGATTGTATTTAACAGTTTTTTTATTCTTAAATATATTTGTAAAATATCATGCGATATTCTTTCTAAGATTGAATTATTTTCGAGAGCTCTGAGCTGTCCGGCGTCTGTTCATTTAATGTCCTCCTTCGACTACCAGTCTGCGCTTCAGAACTATGCTGCCAACACAGACTTGTGATAAAGGGGTTGCTATGGTGTCAGTGTGTTGTAGTATAGTTATGGATGATCTACAACTAATTGTATCCTTAGTTTCTGTGGAGACGATTGACAAGAAATAGTTGGCTTTTCATGAGGATCGTAAGAGTGGAGTTAAATAGCTCAGTGGATAAGACGCTTGCCTTCTGATCCCAGGATCTTGTGTTCAATTCCTGCCACAGCAGGAAATTTCTCACGACGAAAAACAACCCCACACCTTAAGCCTCGTATACAGCATCATTCTCTTGAAGTGGCGAGTGCACATGTTGCTGGATGTGAAGGAAATAAAGTTCCAGGGACATGGTATTATGTGGACGCTTGTACTGACCAGTGTGAATTTATGCAATAATGTATGGAAGCACCTAAGTGCCATTCGACTTGACGACTTGTCAAGATAATTATGTTGTCAAGTCGACATAATATACATATCATGTCGACATGGCGAGATAGATTATCTTGACAAGTCGACATACTAAAAATGTTTTGTTGTCATGACGAGATAGGTTATCTTGACAAGTGGACATAATAAAAATTGTATGTTGTCATGGTGAGATAAATTATCTTGACAAGTCGACATAGTAAAAATGTTATGTTGTCATGGCGAGATAGATTATCTTGACAAGTCGACATAATCCATATTGTATGTTGTCATGGCGAGATAGGTT